ATAATATATTATTACTAGTAAAAAGTAATGCCTCATAATGAATTGTTGTTCAAGATGTATTATAGAGGTATGTCTTCGTTATGAGGTGTTCGACATATAAAAACTCGAAATAAGCTTTTAAAACAAACAAATGGACAAAGAAGTGTTATCCCATGTTTTTATTTACACTGAAAGTTTTTCAACTGTATTCAAATTGATGTGTGTTTCCAAGAAATGTCAAGACGTCTTCCACTCTCTTAAGATAAACCCATACATCACTGACGTCTTTCTCCCAAACAAGTTATTTAAATATTTCCCAAGTCTCATTACTTTACGTTTTCCTATCGACAAAATCAGACTATTTGAAAAAGAAGAAATCAATCAAATTAAATTTATCGACTTGGGTCTTCACACCAAGACTGATATGACAGTAGTACCACCACATTTCATCACAAAGATTGTCGCAATCTACATCAACGCTAACACCACTTTCAGTCTGACTGGCTGCACTAAATTATTAACTGCAAAACTCAATGTAACCAATAACAAGGACCTCAACGTGGCCTGCATCCCAAACCTCAGGACTCTTTATTATGAAACCCAACTCCCTAATATCTCGATGAAAAAAATTAGAAAAATGAGTGAATTAAACAAAAACCTCAATCTCATAATTCTTCCCCACTCATCTCAAAATTACAGCCCCGTCACGGTGTCCCGGGGGTCTGTTAAGTTTGTCCAAGATCTACTCACTGAGAAACACACCCCTTCTATTGAAGGCAACATATTCAGAGCAAAAACCGACTCTTTTATTATAGAAGATTATGAGAACATGCTATTTCATAGTCAGGTATCAGAAATACATATAGAGTGTACTACAATGGGTGTTTTGACGTTAGATTTGGAAAGGTTCAAACTCCTCACTGTGTTGGAAATAATAAGTGAAGACGTTAAGAACTTGACTGTGACACTCCCGACGTTCCACGAGACAAATACAAATCGCGTGAAGATTGTGTCGAAAGCAAAGAACTTGATAATAAATCGGCTTGAGTGCTCATCAAAATTTGAGGAAATGTATTTGGAAGGGTCGATGAGGAATTGTCTTTTTAAGACGGGAAGTGTGATTGAGAAATTAACACTCAAAACGACTGCACAGGTTACAAATACAAATGTTGAAAAAGTGAGTTGGAAAGAGATTACGTATGAAGGGAATTTTGGCGCAAAGGAATTGACCGTCACGCCATTCCGGAGCCGCATCATTAAAGTCAACATCCCCACATTAAAAACGTTTTTTGTGATTTATGAAAACAAAAAACAAAAATTTGTGGATGTCAAAAATTGGTTCAAAAAAGAAGTGGCAGAAAAAATCGGCGATTGTAGGTATGCTGCATACCTCGTCGAACAAGGGAAGCCTAACAAGTTACTTGTATCAAACGATGAAGACGTTTTGAAAGAGGTGAAAAAGAAAGAGGACGTTCTACAATCGGACAAAGAGGACCTTGGGATGTACGAGGACTTGGAATCAAAGTACGAACCAATGAGAAGAGAAAAACCAAATGAGTGGTGGTGATTTTAAAATCTAATTGGAGAGGTGATGTATAGTTACTTTTATAACTCTTTTATTAAAATTATATAGTTATTCTGTGAAATGAAAAATGACAAGGATTTCATTGTCAGAATCTCAATCCATCAGTAAATGTGGAACGAAGTGTCATTTCAAGCTAATAATACAAAATAGAATCAACTGAATAATTTCAGATTAATAAAATAAACCATATTTGAGTCTGCGATAGTAATTGTGACTTCTCCCTGCGACACATCGATTCCAAGTGGTTTTCCATCAATCCCGATCTTCTCCAGCTCCACCATTCCTGTGACATTTCCTTCCTTGAATCTCACAATTCTCTTATTTCCCGTATCGCTGACGTAAACCTCATCTTCATATGTTGCCATATACGTCGGTCTGACCAGTTTTTCTTTAATTCCCCACACTCCTTCGCACTTATTAGTTTTCAGATCAAAGACAACTATACTTCCCCTCCATTCGTCCAAAATGAGAAGTTGATTTTTGTGATTGATTCGAACGCAACTGGGGTATAAAAACCCGCCGACAATCGATCGTTCAAATCTCCCTCTCAAGTCAAACTGGCAGATCCTATGATTCAACCCGTCCGAGACAAAAAGTTTGTCGCCCCACAAGCAAACGCTGCTCGGCTCACAAAATTTGCCCACTTCCTTCCCAAACCCTCCAAAGCATGCTATCGTCCGTTTGTTCTTGTCGTAGATCGACACCGTATGGCTCCCGCGGTCCGCGCTGTAATACCGGATCCCCACACACACGTCCACCGCATTTTGTAGCTCGCACGACCTTGGAAAGACTTTCGTGATTTGCGGCGACTGGACGATATTGAACTCAAACAGTTTCATCGTCTTATTCGCGTCATCTCCAACGATGAACGTCGACGGGGAAAGGGCCTTAATAAATGTGAGGCGAGGGATAAAGTACTCGTCGCCTTGTTGAATGATTTCGGTCGGGACGACGTCAGTCGCGAGATTTTCTGTTGGAATTGGCGCCTGGTCATATTCGCTCGTTAATAAACTCGGCAAAGGAAAATGAAATGTTTGGGTGCAATTGAACGAGCTGTTTGTAATTAACGACTCGTCTGAATTTAACGAGTTGTTTGAATAATTTGTGATGATGACGTCGAAAGAAGTGAGAGGGGAAGAGGCGAAATGTGTTTGTTGATGGGAAGGGAGTTGTTTTGAAGAAGTGAAGTTGTACAAATTTTCCGGAGGAAGTGCGGGAAGTGTGGAGTCGAGTGATTCGAACTTCTGTTTCTGAGTTTTGACCTTCTCGAGGAGGGACTCGAACTTCTCGAAGTTGTCTGAGAGAGGGTCGTCGCTACAACTTTTTTGAACTTCGACGCGTTCGACGTTTTCTTCTTTTTTTTTAGTTGTTTCGAGTTTCTCGGGAAGGTCAGCCGTCTTTTCGTATTGAGGGATTTGAGGGAGAGAGAAATGTGAAGAATCTTTTCTGGATTGTTGAGCTTTAAAAGTTGTGAGTGTGTGTTTGTATTCGAAAAGATCTGCTTGTATTTCGTAATACCGTTCGTATATATCTTGCAGTAATTCCTTTAATCGTGCGATGAAGTGATTACACTTGGGTAAGATTTGTGAAGTGCCTTCCATATACTTTGTATGATACTGCACCGTATCTCTAAAATGCTCGAGAACATCAATCGTACTCTCTGCTTTACTTATGAGTTGACTGAAATATAGAAGTTGTGATTCAAGTGCAAATCTTGTTTGTTCGAAGACTCGTTCTAGTCGTTTCAGGTATAGGTCCCTCTTCTTCGAGTGAACCTCACTCATCGTTCCTAGTGTTTGTTTTTTTCTTTTTTTGTCTCATTTTTCTCTTTTGTCTTTCAACCGTTTTTTTACTTTTTTATTTAGGTAGGTCTTTTACTATTTTATTTAACTGTTTTTATTATAATATTTAGTTTTTTTTTCATTATTTATCAACGAATTTTTCATATAACAATAATTAGTATTATTATAGTAAAATTACTAGTATTGATCTTGTTATTAGTATGACAATAATAATAATAACTAATAGTATTTGAAACTATATATTCTATAATTAAACTATTGTATTTAATACATACAATTAAATCTATACTGATATTAGTAAATATATTAAATATATGGATTATAGAGAAATGGAGTGTTTATTATGATTATCATCCCAACTGGCTTTGGTTATAAAAAACTCAAAAACCCTAAAAAGCCAAATGCCACACTTTAAGTCGCTCCCCAACAAAAAGTCAGACCAACACCGGTTGAAACCAATTATTTCGAAGTATATGACAAGAAGTCAGGCGATTAAACGCCTTTCATTGAACATGTCACAATTTCGACGTCTTTGCATCTTAAAGGGTATTCATCCCCGTGTACCTCCAAAGACGACCGAAGCGCAAGAGCGCCAAATCTTTTATACCAGGGACGACATCTCATCGTTGGTTCACGACAAAGTCACAGCAAAGCTTTTGAGCATGCGAGCGTTCAAGAAGAAACTTCAACGTCTTGAGAATCGTAAAGAATTTGGAACAAAGAAAATAGTCGAGCGCAGTTGTGTTCCACAACTTGATTTGAAAGATACCATTCGTGAAAGATATCCGACATTTGCAGACTGTTTAAAGGATCTGGGAGACTGTTTGTCGATGGTGTACATGTTTGCGTCACAAGGACTGACCACTGGCGAACGTTCGCAACACGTCAAATTAGCGCGGAGATATGTCCTTGAATGGGAGGCCTATGTGAAACATCAGGGTTTGCTCCGAAAGTGTTTCATTAGTACTAAGGGTTTCTTCTATACGGCTTCTGTTTGTGGGATCCCAGTGACTTGGATAGTCCCCCACGAGTTCATGATCGAGAAGAGTGAAACCGTCGACTTTAACGTCCTTCACGAGTTCCTCAACTTCTATGTCATTTTGATGAAGTTTGTCTGTTTCAAGTTATACAACACTGCTGGTCTTGTCTACCCCCCACGTATTGATTATGTCCCGGGGACTGAGTTTCTTGGAGAGGTCCACGTTGAGAGAATTGCAGAAAGCAAAAAGAAGACGTTTGAGATTAAACAGATCAAGCAAGAGAAGCCGATTGTTGTCGACGAACTGATTGATGTGAAAGATGCGGTGAAAGGAAGTGAGAATGCAATAGCCACAGAAATGGCGAAAGAAAGTGGTGTCAAATCCGATGAGACAATTGAGAAGGAAAAGATGGAGGAGTTGGACACGAACAATAGAATAGAAGAAGTCGACTTAGGGAATAGAAGTGGGCAAGGGTTAATGTCAGGGTTAGTGTTCTATGTTCAGAAAGAAGTAGCGCAGAATGTTAAATTTGTGATAGAATGTGTTGGTGGGATGATAGTGACTGATGTCAATGACGAACAAATCACACATCAAGTTGGTGAAAGAGGAGAACACAAGACGATAGCCCGAGAGTTTGTCCAACCCCAATGGATCTTCGACTGCGTCAATGAGAATTTCTTGTTGCCGTGTGCGGAGTATGAAATAGGAAAGAAATTACCACCACATTTGTCGCCTTATGGTAATGGGGATGGGGACTATATCAGTGAAAGAAGAAAAGAGTTGGACAACATCAAGAAGGGACATGAATACAATTACGACGAAGACGCCGAGAAGAAGGAAAAGGCATCAAAAGAGATTATTACTGAAGATATGGAAGGCGATTTTGTTAAAGGAATGCTCGAGGAACAAGGCAAAGAAATTCCAAAGCCTCACGAAGGACCAAAGAGTCTTAAAACTAAAGAGATGAAAGCAGAAGAAGATGAGAAGAAGCGTAAGATGGTCATGTTAGTCGGAAAGAAGAGAAGAGCCGTTATGAAGGACGAATTTGAACAGAGAAAGAAGAAGAGAACACTCAAAGGAATGCACGAGAAGTTGTTAGCGTCTAAGAAGCGCACAGACAAGAAGAGCGACGCATCTGATGAGTAAGTTGTCGTGGAATGAATTTTGAATGAGTTTTTTTCTTTTAGTTGAATTGTAGTTTATTTTTACTATATTTGTTTTACTATACTATTATAATAAAAATACAATAAAAAAGAAATCAAAGAACTAGTAAAATTTGTAGTAAAAGAGTTATATATGAATAGTACAAGTTGCAGAGAAAAATCAATGAAGGAACTTGAAAAAAACTTCAAAAGCATATTATACTTGTTATGAGCATTATTCTGGTGCTAGTAGCACTTACAGTAGCGAGTGGGAAGTGTTTGACGAATGAGATGTATAGAAACATGTTAGACGAGCGGTTTTTGATGGAAGACAAGTTAGTGAAATTAGACGCGCGAATCAGAGAGATAGAGGATATCGAACGGATCACAGAGGACCGCCTCAGTTTTTTGAAGCAACAAGAGGGATATGCGATATCGAAGAGAGCTATTAAAGATCTCAAGAAACAAGAGAAGCGTGTTGTAGCAGATTTGGTAGCGTCGAAGTTCAAGAAGGATCACATCCTCAGAATGTTGAGAAAAACACTGATGAATGTCCCTCTCAGGGCAAGAGAGGAAATTGTGAGGAGCGCACATTTGGAAAACAGAATGGACCAGATCATGTCACCCCTCGAAAGAGCAGATAAGATGGTCGACAAGATCCTCCACGAGACTTTCAAGGGAAAAAAGAACAACAAAAGCAAATAAGTCGAGTCACTGTGTCATGTCCGTTCTATGGTTTATTTATAGTTCAATTCTAACTTAAATAGATAGAGAAGTAATTTATAGTTTTATTATAATACCAATTTTGAAGTTATTTGGGTCATAAATCATCATCAGAAGAATAGTATATATATAGTAAAATGTATTATACAAAATAATACAATAAAGTAGAGTTTTTAACGAAATAGCTCAACTTCATTATATAGAATGACGTCAGAAGATGTGAATAGCTACTCAAAGACAGTTCAGTTTCTAAAGAACCACCGAAGCAGATTACAAGAACGAATTAAAGAACAGAACAAGGTGCTGTGTTGTCCCCCATTAAATCGACTTGATTTACTATTTGAGGAACACTTCTGTGGAGGACAAAAACAAGTGTTATACACTGAGTTAGGGAAAGTCAAACGGCGCGTATGTAACTACACTTCGTTGAGTACAAAAGCAGTTGTAACACATCCGTTGGGGTGCGAAAATAATTTAGTTGACATCCACCAAATACCAAGTAAACGGTTTTGTGTGGACAAGACTGAAATAGTTTGTCTCGTAACTGAAGAAGAATTTTGCGACGGTTTTGTCATCATCAGAACACCATGGGGGAATAGTCTCTCGTTCAAATTGAATGAACTGACTGAGAACGAGAAAACAACAATTGTCGTGTTGTCACAAGACCGCAAATTCTCTGTTCTTTTACTCATGAAAATGGATCATATGAAAAGTGCACAAGAGAATTACAACATCTATTTGCAAGAGAAGGATGTCCTTAGCACGAATAAGCCGGACGAAGACACTATTATAGTCAAAGACTGGTCCTTTTATACAACAAAAAGAAACTGGAAAGTCGACGTCGTTCAACACAATCAAAGCACTCAAATGAAAGTCAATGAAACAAATTTCTACAATATTAAAAATGGAGTTTTAGTGACAAACGAATGTGATTTCTTTAAACAACAATACAACGGAAAGACGTACTACGTGTGTACAATCGACATTTCAGTTTTTAAAGAAGATTTTATACTTCCAACACCTTATGGTGAAAAAGTGCCAGTAACTGTAAAAGGTGTTTTGCCATGGAAAGACTATATACTCCATCAAATACAAAACAAACCAAACGAATTTGTGTTTGTCTCATTTGTCGAGTCACTTTATAAAGTCAACGAACTCAACATTGTCAGAAATGTTCAAAATGAATATGTACCAAATGAGAGTGGTGTCGATTATTTTGCTTATTACGATAGAGGTTTTATCTACAACGCTGGAAAGTATAAGGAGGACGTGGATAGACTCCCCGTCTTCTTTCCAATTTTGTTCAACAACAAAGACGACTGGAAAGTGTTTTACAGAATCGGGGAAGTACAAAAAACATATTTCTTGTTTAAAGTGTTAAAAGAAGATATGGTTCTCGAGGTTGATGTAATAAGCTCTTAATACCACCAAAATCAATACACTGTCTAAGTATAGTTGTTTTATTATTAAAATATAGTTTTTATTTTAAACAATGGTATTACTGGTATTTTTCTTATTTTAAATTAGATTAAATGGATTTATTATTGTACTTTTAAAAACAATTCACTTTAAAATTCCGATTTTAAAAAGATTTTGTTTGTTTGAATTGTGATAAAAAAAGAGTTAATTAAGCCAAAAAGTTGTAATGAACTATATATTATAATAATGTTGTTATAAATTATAATTGAAATGGATTTTTTGACGGCTTTTGATATAACATGTTGTAACTAATAATTGTTCTATAAATAATATATTACCAATAGCATTATTCAATTCTTTTGATTGAACCCGATTTTTTTATAATACAATAGTGTTAAATGTATTGGAAATGTTTGATTTGGTCAGAGGTTAGAATAATTGCCAAATATGTACAAATAATTCTTATGGTTTTGTCACTAATAGTATAATAATTACATATTTAACCATTGAAAATATTTTTAGTTACATGTTTTCGTTTATAATGGACGTTTTTAATCAAACACAGTTTGAAAAAGTCTAAATTTAAAAAGAAGTTAAAATGTAGTTTTAAGAGGAGTTAAGCCGTAAGGAACAATCGTGTTTTATTTATTATAAAGTGTTAGAAATAACAGAAAAAAACTTAAATTGCATAACCAAAGAAAGAAAAGAAAAAAGAGTTGACCAAAAAAGGTAAAAAATAATATTTAAAGAGCAATTGTTATATTTTTTTGCACAATGTTAATAAAAATCTAAGAAACCCTATTTTTCCCCATTTGAGTACAGTTTCGAGTATTATAAGTATTAAATATGATAAAAACTCCCGAATTTGTAAATCAAAATATGCTCGTAGTAGATAGTCGATTAAAACACTCAACCAAAATCGCCAGTAAAAAGCAATACTGTATTACTATTATGAATCGATACTTTATTTTTATATATTGTGTTTATTACGGGTTTTGAAAATGAAAGTAATTACTTTTTAGAAGGAATTCGCCAAATGTTTTAACCGCCATGACAAAAAATAGCCGTTAAAGACTTGAAATGTGACGTGTTGTCTTATAAAAAATTGATTACATTCGAACATTTTTCATATAAAAAAAGTCCATTATTTCAATTTGAAAAACCCAAATCTTTTTATTGGGAAAACACGTCATGTTGAGATGCGACAAAATCCAATTAAAAAAAGCGAAAAACGGTTATAACACCAACAATCCCTATAAAGCTTTTTTAAAGTAATAACAGTGTTCTATTCTTATTTTACTTTAAAAAAAATTACACCTATTTTTCAAGCATTCATGCTGACTCTCGCAACTATTTAAGTGCTCAAAACTTATTCCATTTGGTGATGTCCGACACTAGTGAAGCAAGGTTTTTCAAGTCAAAATACGACTACAAGAACTTTGAAACATATCAACAAATGTTTCTTCTCGGTCTTCTCAACACTAGGTGCTCTTTCACGCTCAAGAAACAAAGAAAACAAACAACCATATCAGAGACCACGCCTTTGTTAAAGACTTTAAACTTTGGCAATGAAACCATTGATTTTATTCAGTTGACAGACGTTTTGAGCCGACCTCAACTTGAACAAGAATATAGAAAAGGAATTAACAAACAAACTGCGTTCAGAAGATACGAAAAAAACAAGAGAGTAATAACTATTAACACATTGTATGACATCTGTTTAGAATTGGGGTTCTTCTTTGACTCCAAATTAGCTCGGAAATCAAAAAAGACTAAACGGATCGATCGAATACTGTGTGTCTTTTTTAATGGAACTTTTATTTTTACTCAAGAAGAGCTCATTCAAATGGGAGATAAGATAAACATATACATCGTTGAAAAAATGAAAAATGGAACAGAAATAACCATAGATAAGAACGATACCACCATTTATCAAATACTCAGCAACAAACTACCAAGTGCCATTTCATGTTAATTGTATTACTTATAATTGTTATTCAATTCTTTTTATAACACAACATTCAACATATAACAGTCCATCTAAACAGTTTGATTCAACTTTTAATTGATTTAAATCAACCCAATTAAAAAGGATCTTTACCATCAATTTCTCTTCTTTTTCTAAAGTACGTTCCAAGTAATAAATATGATTGGTATTACTTTATACCAAATAAAAACCTCTTCAACGAAAAGGTTACAGAAACTGATGAACTAAAAATTGGTAACTTTAAAGCAACATTTAAGTGTTGCTTTCGCTTTAAATTTCCAACTTCATTATCATAAGAAAACAATAAACAGATGAATTACTGAACTAATGGTTCGTTGTATATTTCAGGCGATTTCATGACTTCAACCTCTTCCTTTTCCTCTGTTTTCTCTTCTGATTTTTGTTCCGACTTAACAGCGTCAATCGCCTCTCTATACTTCTGTAAACTCTTTGGTATGGCGACGACCTTAGCCAGCCTGCTTCCGCTTGGGAGGTACATCCCTTCCGGGTTTTTAATGATTAAGTTGATTCCCATTAACGTCTTTTTGAAAAGAAATTGAACTGCGTTGAACTTGAATGACGACCTTCCAACATTATTTCCTTCGTCGCATGGGTCTTCGATGACCAGTGAGTCTTCCTCAAAGAGATTTTTCTCAACCAAGCTAAAAAAGCCGTGTTGGTACGAGACCCCCGTCTTCCCCATTTTAAAGATGTTTCCATAGAAATTGAGAAACTCGACAAGTGCTCTCCCGAGGGAATGTTGTGGGTAGAACTTCAAGAATGTTGCTGTGAGTAAGACTATAGCATATGAACCGATTCCGCCATGGTACGGTTCGTTCAAATTGTTCTGAAAGACTAAGTACTTAACAAAGAGGGCTATCTCTTGTGTGAATTGTGATGAAGTTAATAGAGAATGTGTAAGTGCAGAGGAGTCGATACCCCCCTCACAGTTGATAGACAAGTCTATAGAGATCGTTGTATCCAAATCTAACAGTTTAATGATAGGGACTTTAGCGTTCGTTATTACGTCCTCGACTCGCAGAAATTTCGACGATCGACAGATGGTACTGATCTTGAAGAGCAATTTCTTCACTTGGTTTTTTGACACCTCTTCGGAGAAGGATAAGACTAAATCAATGTCGCTGGAAGGTAATGAAAATCCAGAGACGTAACTCCCGTATATCGTGACTTCGCATCCGGGATATCTGTTTGTTAAGAGTTGACTCACTTTTTGATAACTTATTTGTCGGAGTTCTTGTTCGTTTGGCGTGAGTGAGATGTATCGAGTGAACAACTTGATTTCTTCCGTTAGTGTCAATTTATCAGTTGGACACACCGACCGTAACCACATCTCTAAGTTTTATTAGTTATTGAATTGTTCTTCAATTAGAAAAGAAGTAGGGTTTTTAATGATTCCATAACTGCATTCTATTTCTATTCTTTTACTTTTTTCTTGTTTTTTCACTTCAATTGCGTCATATCAACTTACTTCATTTTTTTAAAACACTTTTGGGATGTAAAAATGGTTTTTTTTCTCATTTAAGTAATTTGTGTTTTGGCGATTGAATTTTGTCTTCTTGTGGTTTATTTATAATTTATTTATAATTTATTTATAATAAATTAGAGTTTCATTGTGTTGATTTTTGGAAGTATAAATAATTACTATTTATCTATAATTAATTTATTTGATATCAAATAGTTAAATAAACTATATAAATACTATAGTTATGTCGTGTGTTATTCCTCGATTTGTTGAATAACGAAGTCTTCGAGTTCTTTGACTGTTTCAAAAGTTTTCAGCGTATTCTCTTTGATGTAATGTTCGATTAGTTCGTGACCGTTTCCATATAAGACACCCACTGCATCGACTCCAGACTTCTTTGCCATCACAAATCCAGGAGATAAATCATCGATTACTAAGATATCGGATGATACTAAATTGTATTTTATTTTTAAGTCATCAATGGGAAAAGTATTTGGTTTACAGAGTTCGGGGTGTCCGTGAACACTTCCATATATAATGTCTGGTTTCATCCCAACCATTTGATAATGCCCTTCGATAACTACTGCACGAGAGTGTGAACATACTGCAATAATTCCTCCCAATTTTTTATATGAACTTAGGAAGTCAATTATCCCTTCAAAAAAGGGAGGAGAGTGTTGCTTACTATATTCTACCCACATGTCTATTTCATGCTTCATTTCTTCATATGAAAGCCCCATTACTTCGTGTTGGTACGTCCCAAAGTCCGACTCCCAGAGCATTAAATACCATTTTTGAAGAGTGAGTGGGACAAAAGACTTTGGCATATATTGTTTCTATAAAGTTAAGAGTCTAATCTATTTTTAAATAAAACGTGTTACTACATTTGTTTAATAATTCTAATTTATTTATTAACTTATTTGTAAATTGGCGCATCTACTTTATTTATATTTAAATTACAAACACAATACTCCATATACGCTGGATAATTAACACTGGGTGTGGAATCTACTGTTGTGTCGTCGTGGTCCAAAACAATCGCCTTGTACCGCAAACACATTACTTGAGCTTTCTAGATTAGGGTTATAGAACACTAATTATTTTTTCGTCTCATTGTCTGGTTATGGAAGCAAAATTATAAACTCTTTTGATACCATTAAAATTATTATATTTACTATATATATTTAATACAATTCTAAACAATAGAATAATAATATCAAAAATTGTATTATAAATTATAATATTTTAAATTACTGTTATAATATTTATTATTAAATATTAATTTTTATTTTTAGAAAGATAATAATAAAATAGTATTCATTATTATAAAATATAATTAGAGTACTTGCTACAACGTTGTACACTACTCAAACGTTGTACACTTTACGAATATTAGACTTGTTTTCCAAATTTTTTTGGGTATTAGGATAAAAACAAAAATAGCAGCAAAAAATAAAAATGCACTTTTGGGAAAAATCAAAATAAAATCCCGAAAAATAGGATAAAAAAATATGGAAAAGTCGGGTGTACAACGTTGTTGGTGTACAACGTTTACGGACTGACTCTATTTGAAAAAAACAGAAGTATTTTAACCGCAAAAGTACATTGATGGTAATTATTGTTTTGTTTTTAAATCAAAAAAGTATAATTAAAAGGAAAGTAATCCTTAAATGGTTGAATTGTGTTTCATTCAAATGAAATTTACGATAATCCAAGACTATGAAATTGAAGAATCTTTGATTAAATATATCAAAAAGCCGACAAATAATGAACTGATAATTCCATTGATGTTCGGCAAGAAAGATAAAAACAAGAAAAAGATGGTTATAGAGAAACGAGGACCTGTTGAAAGGTCACACATAGGTTTCTCTTCAACTGGGGAATTGGAAGTAGAAAATTTACCATCGGCTTGGGTTGCCTTTTTTAAAAAGGCGGGGGTTAAAAAGTCTGATTTGGCAGACAAAGAAACTCGAGACAAAGTCTTCAAGTTGATGGCGTCTTCTTCTGTTGTGAATGATATGCAAAAAGAAGTTTCAAACAACCCAAATGCAGCAAAGGCACTTCGAAACACTATGAAACCACAGAAGAAGATCCCAGAAGGAATGACTGTAACCCCTATCACTCCACAGTTCATTAAACAACAACAAGACAAAGAGGTCAGCCGAACTATTCGAACTTCTACAACACCAGGTGTAGCTCCAACACCAATCAAAGAAACCAAAATCGAAACTAAACAACAGCCTTCAGTACATAAAAAACCAGTTGCTCCATATCATAAGTTTAACTCAAAAACTGTCACAAAACAACACACAACAAATCACACAGCACAGAGAGGGAAGGTTAACATCCCATCTGCTTTTGCTGAAGGCGATAAAAAGGACAGTTACAAACCTAAAACCTTCTATGAAAAAGTGGAAGAGAAAGAAAAGGAAAAACCAAAGACGTCGAACGTCAACAACAGTTCAAGCGTTGTCAAACCAACTCAAAACAAAAAGTTGTTACCACAAGCCGAGACAAAAACAGCCCCAGTGTATCAACGACAAAGCGCAATATCACAAAACCCGGCGTTCTCTAAATTTAATACACAACAAACCACAACAACGACACAACCAAAACGTGTTGTGAAAGAAGACAGTGATGATGATGAGATGTTCAAACCTACTGTAATTGGAAATGAATGGTCCGATGATGAAGAACAGAAGTGTGTTATTCCAAAGCCAGCAAAGAGTTATAAAACATCTCAAAAAAGCCCCGATATAAAGAAAGAGGTCAAACCAAAAGTACTTGAAACACCAAAAGAAGTGCAAAAACCTGTTGAAGAAAAGAAAGAAAAGTCGGTGTCCACTCAACAAAAAACACAAGCAAGCCAAAAAAGTGTCCACGAAAAGAAACAAGAAGCTTTTAATAAATTTAATACACCAACACCTTCTAATAGTTCACAACTGAAACCAAAGACTTATACATATCAAACTAAAACACCTTTAAAGAAGGAAAATACAGTAACACCTCCACAGAGCACTACTGGCTTTAAAAAACCATCTCCACCTTCTTCTCAAAAAACTCCACCACAAACAACAGTTAAAACAACTTGTGAGACCGTCACACCTCCACAAACTAAAAGTCCAAGTTTTAAAAGACCATCGCCACCTCCTCCAAAACAAGACCAAATCAAAATTAATGAAGACAAAGCAAAGGAAGAGAAATTGAAGCTTGAAAAGGAGAAACTTGAGAAGGAACAACAAGAGAAACGAGAAAAACAAGAGAAAGAAAAACAACAACGCGAGAAAGAAGAGAAGTTAAAAGCAGAGAAAGAAAAGGCGGACAAAGAGAAGGAAGAAAAACTTCGAGCGGACAAATTGAAAGAACAAAAACAGAAAGAAGAGAAAGCTCGTGCTGACAAAGAACGAGAGAAAATTGAGAAAGAAAAGGCATTAAAAGCACAAAAAGAACAAGAAGAACAACAAAAAGCTCAAAAACTGTTGGAACAAGCAGAACAAAAAGAACGCGAAGAAAGAGATAAAAATACACAACAAAAGACTGCAGCCGCACTCGCACCACCTTCATCACTTCCACCACCAAATGCACCACCCCCTGTTATCAAAAGTGGTGTTGAAAATGCCAACGCGGGAATCTCGTTCACACAGCTCATCTTTGCGCAGTCCGGCAATTTGAATAAGACTGAAATGAAAGAGAAGCAAGTGCAAGAGGATGAAGTGGTCTTAGCACTTCGCGGAATTTTAGATGAACGCCGAAAGGACATTGCAACGGAGTATTCCGATGACGAAGATGATTGGAGTGATGACGATTGGTAATTGATGTAATTTGCATTATTTCTTTACATTCATATCGCATTCAATGCGTATGTATTATATTATATATTATTATATACAAGTTACTCTCGATCATTAACAAAGACGATGAAATGAGAACAGTAGAAATCGTTGCAAAGACTCAAAAGGTCTTCGACGTGTTAGAAATGAAAGAAGACCACGTGGGAAAGTTCTTTGAGTTGTGCAACGAAGAAGAGCTCAACGCCTTTTTCAATAGAAGAATACAATTCGCTCGAATCACTAATGAAAAGACCAAGTGGTTTTAACCTATTTTGATTGATTTTTTATTGGTGTTTATTTTTTTGGTTGTTCGTTATAATCACATTCTCTGTCTTTTTTAATTCATATTTAAAACAGCGAAGGAGTAAGTCATTTTTTGGCAAGTGAGTTTGAAAAGAAAGAATATGAAGGTCAACAAAAAAATTCACCTTCTCCATCAGAAAATAGAAGGTGAGCATTCATTGGAAATAATAGACTTGCATCACAAAGACTTTAATTGATTTTAGCCAAAAGTAATTAAGAAATCTATTTTAATTCTTAAATATTGTCTATTTGATAATAACATTATGAATTAAATATAGTACAATGAAATGATAATGGGTTATAACATATTTTTGTAAATCAACAATACCAGTCAAAAAAGTTACTTTGTTCAAAAAATACCCTTCTATTTGTCATAATGTAGAATGTGAAATTGTTTTTTATTTTTGAAAGTTATTTTTAAAGTAAAATTGGGTTTTAATTAAACAAACAATCCAAATTCAAGAATGTATTTTTAAATGAAAGACAAACCAGTTATCTATTCGTTGTACCACAAATATACATTATTGACTGTAGTTATTTTATAATAAAATTATTATAACTACTAGAATTGTATATTTCAAAAAATAGAAATAGGAAAAAAGAAGGAATTTATAAATTTTTTCAGTTAGTTTTAGTTAATATTTTTAAAATGTGTATAGTTTAAATAGTATTAGAATAATTAAAAATATTTTTGTCAAAAACAAAGGTTGGGTATAAAAACAAAAAAATTTGTCATCTAGTCGCCACATTGATGAAAAATTTGAATGATTTACCATGATGGTTCGATACTTTTCTGAGTGGTCTCTATCATTAAACTACATTCTTATACTTAGTGATAGTCAGTGGCTTTTCATTCAATGATTAGTCACTGTATTGAAAGTAAAGAGTGATAATAATAATAATAATAATAATAATAATAATAATAATAATAATAATAATAATAATAATAATAATAATAATAATAATAATAATAATAATAATAATAATAATAATAATAATAATAATAATAATAATAATAATAATAATAATAATAAT